GAAAAATTTGTTAACCTCTCAGAAAAATAAAAAATTATCTTTCCTGAAGCACTGTCATTAAATTAAAATATTAACAAACATACAAATAAAATGAACAGGAATATAGAAAGAAATGTCTGCAGTCTACTGTGATTGATATTATAACTATTAGTCCTAATAGTTTCTACTACAGTCTACTATGATTATTACCATAACTATTAGTCCTATTAGTTTCTACTGCATTCTACTGTGATTATTACCATAACTATTAGTCCTATTAGTTTCTACTACAGTCTACTGTGATTATTACCATAACTATTAGTCCTATTAGTTTCTACTGCAGTCTACTGTGATTATTATCACAACTGTTAGTCCTATTAGTTTCTACTACAGTGTACTGTGATTATTATCACAACTATTAGTCTATTAGTTTCTACTGCAGTCTACTGTGATTATTATCACAACTATTAGTCCTATTAGTTTCTACTGCAGTCTACTGTGATTATTATCACAACTATTAGTCCTATTAGTTTCTACTGCAGTCTACTGTGATTATTATCACAACTATTAGTCCTATTAGTTCTACTGCAGTCTACTGTGATTATTATCACAACTATTAGTCCTATTAGTTTCTACTACAGTCTACTGTGATTATTATCACAACTATTAGTCCTATTAGTTTCTACTACAGTCTACTGTGATTATTACCATAACTATTAGTCCTATTAGTTTCTACTGCAGTCTACTGTGATTACTACCACAACTATTAGTCCTATTAGTTTCTACTGCAGTCTACTGTGATTATTATCACAACTATTAGTCCTATTAGTTTCTACTACAGTCTACTATGATTATTACCATAACTATTAGTCCTATTAGTTTCTACTGCATTCTACTGTGATTACTACCACAACTATTAGTCCTATTAGTTTCTACTGCAGTCTACTGTGATTATTACCACAACTATTAGTCCTATTAGTTTCTACTACAGTCTACTGTGATTATTACCAAAACTATTAGTCCTATTAATTTCTACTGCAGTCTACTGTGATTGATATTATAACTATTAGTCCTATTAGTTTCTACTGCAGTCTACTGTGATTGATATTATAACTATTAGTCCTATTAGTTTCTACTACAGTCTACTGTGATTATTATCACAACTATTAGTCCTATTAGTTTCTACTACAGTCTACTGTGATTATTATCACAACTATTAGTCCTATTAGTTTCCACTACAGTCTACTGTGATTATTACCAAAACTATTAGTCCTATTAATTTCTACTGCAGTCTACTGTGATTATTATCATTATTATATTTTTTTGTTGATGGTGCTAACTGAGTTAGTTTTGGTTTCATATTAAGTTGTTCTTAAATGTTATGCAGACAAGCTACTTTGTCAATATTTTATTATTATTGTGTTTTACACAATGGCCACAGTTTTTCTACTGAGATGTTATGATCACCGTCAATTCTTACATACAAGTGTTAGTTTTGGAACCTTCAGAGATTTATTTTTCTATATTTTTTATGCAGGCAAACTTCCCTGTCTCTTACTCTCAAAACGTCTGCTCATGCTCAGAAATGCAAGACGTTTTTAGGAACTATTGATCTGTCTGTCACACTTTATTCAAGGGTTGAGACCAACACAGAAGAGGTGAGCTTACTTAATACTGTGTTAAAATTTATTCTTATGTCAAAAGAAAACATTTGATTGATTAAGCTGTGAAAATGCACAAGTTTTCTTAGTTTTATAAAGTGTAATTCATTTCCTTAAAAAAAAAATCAGCCTTTGTTTTTTCAATGTGTATCACCAACATTTTGTTGGGGTAGGTTTAGTACTAAAAACATGAGTTTTCCTGTACTGTACTGTATAAATATTGTGTTTGATTAGCTGTAATACTAAAAAACAGGAATTGTTTCTTTTTTACAATAACTGGAAATTTTCTTACTGATTTTTTTTTTTTACTGATTTGCTCTAGGGTATAAATTAAATATTAGGCTTTACAATTCCTTTAGACAATATTTTTTGTAAAAACTGAATACCTTGTATTCAAGTAAACTAAATACTTATAAAAACAACCAGTTATATATTATGATCGAATCACTCGTTATTTATGTATTGAAATAAGTTTTAAACCACAAAACATTTCAGTTTGTTTTTAAATATATTCTAAGAAATCATAGATCCAAGTTACTGCTGCAGGATAATATGAATAATACTGAGAAAATGAAGTATCACATATGTATGTTTAAACTTCATACATAAAAATCAAATGATTTTATATCAGTCGATACTTTTTACTCAAGTTTAATTAATGGTACGGAACGGTGAGTTAAAGATGTTCACATCAGTTTTCCAATATGTGTTTCTAAGAGTATATGTGTCTATTGGTTATTTAGTACAACTAATGTGTAACTTAACCTTTTAGAGCATATCAAGGTCCTCATCCATCGTAAACAGGTGCCAGTCATGGGACAGTGTACTAACGGTTGTTTTAGTTGAAGGTAGAGATCTTTATCCTGGTGACAACGACAGTGTAGGAGAGCCATATGTGAAGTTCCGTTTGGGTGATGAGAAATACAGAAGTAAGGTACTAAAGAGATATCCTGTTTCTTACCATGAGAAGCATTCCAGTATATATATATGTTTGATACTGTAATTTTAAGTATTGTAATGTGATGAAAAGTACTTGTCATAAACAAACAAAAAACAAATATATAATACTTAAGTGTTTTATACTTTACCATAGTGTAGCAATCATTGTAAAAGTATGGATGGAAATTAATAGTTACTTATTAACCTTCTGATTATAAAGTTCAGATGGTATATTCTACATTAAACATTTGACATGGTTTAGATACAGTTGTTTATTAACCTTCTGATTATAAAGTTCATATGGTATATTCTACATTAAACAGTTGACATGGTTTAGATACAGTTGTTTATTAACCTTCTGATTATGAAGTTCATATGGTATATTCTACATTAAACAGTTGACATGGTTTAGATACAGTTGTTTATTAACCTTCATATGGTGTATTCTACATTAAACAGTTGACATGGTTTAAATACAGTTGTTTATTAACCTTCTGATTATAAAGTTCAGATGGTATATTCTACATTAAACAGTTGACATGGTTTAGATAGAGTTCTTTATTAACCTTCTGATTATAAAGTTCAGATGGTATATTCTACATTAAACAGTTGACATGGTTTAGATAGAGTTGTTTATTAACCTTCTGATTATAAAGTTCAGATGGTATATTCTACATTAAACAGTTGACATGGTTTAGATAGAGTTGTTTATTAACCTTCTGATTATAAAGTTCAGATGGTATATTCTACATTAAACAGTTGACATGGTTTAGATACAGTTGTTTATTAACCTTCTGATTATAAAGTTCAGGTGGTATATTCTACACTAAACGACTGACATGGTTTAGATAGAGTTGTTTATTAACCTTCATATGGTGTATTCCACACTAAACAGTTGATATGGTTTAGATACAGTTGTTTATTAACCTTCTGATTATAAAGTTATAAACTAAACGGCTGACATGGATTAGGTAGAAATGAAACTTAAGTGTTACATGTTAAGCCATTGATGTATAATACCAGGTAAATATTTTCTTGCTAAGCGGCCACCGTCTGAATCACAGGTGGAATTTTGATGTTGTGTATTAAACAGCTGATGCATAAACTAAGATAAAAATTGTACTTACCATTACGTACTACTTGCTGATATGCATAGCCTAGTGGAAAATATGCTGTGTGTGTGTTATAGAACTAAATAGTATGTTTTTTAGAAATGTATTTAGGAACATGAGTTAAAATCCTGTTTTTATATTCCAGATAAAACTAACTGTCTTGCTGAATAAACAATATTAAACAAAAAGGTTTTAAAAATTAAGCCTTAATAGGAAGTGATTTAAGCATTTCTATAACAAATATATAATTGATACTCACTTCACAATATTTATAAAATGTTCAAACATTAACTATTATAGTTTTCTTCTTTTTTGTCAAAGTTGAACAATTTTGTTTACAGCCATTGAAATTTATATTAGTATAATTTGATTTATTGTTTTCTTTCATCAATCAAGAAAGCCAATAAAACGACAAATCCAAAATGGTTAGAAGAATTTACCTTGAATATTTATGGTGCTCACTCAAAAATTCTGGATGTTACAGTATGGGATAAGAGCTACTACAATAGAAGTACCATTATTGGCAGGTAAGATATGTCTAATTATAGATAAGATCTAATGTAGTGGCTGTTATAATCTGGTTCTTCTGGTAGGAGATATGTCTAGTTATAGATAAGATCTATTGTAGTGGCTGTTATAATCTGGTTCTTCTGGTAGGAAATATGTCTAATTATAGATAAGGTCTGTTGTAGTGGCTGTTATAATCTGGTTCTTCTGGTAGGAAATATGTCTAGTTATAGATAAGGTCTATTGTAGTGGCTGTTATAATCTGGTTCTTCTGGTAGGAGATATGTCTAGTTATAGATAAGATCTATTGTAGTGGCTGTTATAATCTGGTTCTTCTGGTAGGAGATATGTCTAGTTATAGATAAGATCCCTATAATATTGTCTTCTGGTGAGATATAAGGTCTATTTCTGACTGATAAGGTCTGTTGTACTGGAGTGACTGGTGTAACTTATTTGTTTTTGTGTCAGATGAATTCTGTTGTGGTGACTGACAGGGGTAAACTGATGCTGGTTGGCATGAGATGAATTCTGTTGTTCTGTTCCTGTCAACAACCAGGTTTCATCTCATGTCAACCAGTATCAGTTGTAGTTGTTGACAGGAACAGACTGATACTGGTTGACATGAGATGAAACCTGTTATAGTTGTTGACAGGAACAGACTGATACTGGTTGACATGAGATGAAACCTGTTGTAGTTGTTGACAGGAACACACTGATACTGGTTGACATGAGATGAAATCTGTTGTAGTTGTTGACAGGAACAGACTGATACTGGTTGACATGAGGTGAAACCTGTTGTAGTTGTTGACAGGAACAGACTGAGACTGGTTGACATGAGATGAAACCTGTTGTAGTTGTTGACAGGAACAGACTGAGACTGGTTGGGATCCATGATTACAATGAAAGTAGCAAAAAACAATATTAATAATAAAATATCTGTTAATTGTAGTGTAAATGTAACTTACATATAATTTATACAAGTGTAATTGTTTTTGATACAAGTACATTATCCTCATTATGGTGGGTTTATAAACTACGTAGTTGTATGTAGTAATATAAGATTGAAATTATTTGGTATTTTATGTCACTTATCTAGTTGAGAGAGGAAAAATCCATTAGTTAACTAGCTAATTATGAAAAATACATTAGTTAGCTAGCTACTTATGAAAAATACATTAGTTAACTAGCTAATTATGAAAAATCCATTAGTTAGCTAGCTACTTATGAAAAATCCATTAGTTAGCTAGCTACTTATGAAAAATCCATTAGTTAACTAGCTACTTATGAAAAATACATTAGTTAGCTAGCTACTTATGAAAAATACATTAGTTAACTAGCTAGTTATGAAAAATCCATTAGTTAGTTAGCTAGTTATGAAAAAAGCCATTACTTAACTAGCTAGTTATAAAAATCCTTTAGTTAACTAGCTAGTTATAAAAATCCTTTAGTTAACTAGCTAGTTATGAAAAAATCCATTAGTTATGTAACTAGCTAGTTATAAAAAAAATTCTGCTTTATGAATCATGCTTTGGAACCATATGATTCATGACCCTAATCATTTTCCAGTTGCCCCTGGTGGTTTGTGTAGTGTTTATTCTAGTGGCAGATAAGGTCTGTTCGTCATTTTTACTTTTCTTTTATGTAGGAGCCATTTTTAAACTTCAGTAAAAACACTGACTCTACTTACACTTACTAATTTGTTGATCTTTCAGAATATCTTATTTTTTACTACAATTTTGTGTCAAAGCAAGTACTGTAATCCAAGGTAAGTAATTCTAATTAACATGTCACCTTTATTTATGTAAATATCTCCTGTCAGCCTGACTAACGTATTCCTTACTATAATAAATGTTACATAAACATGAATTCAGAAATGTTTACATACCCTTCTTCACAAGAAATGGATATTATCTTGTACCACTGCTAGGAAGACTTTTGTCTCTAGAGTAGTGTAGGAAGTAGCCCCCCCCCTTCAATCTATCCCAGTAAAAATGAATCAAAATTACTCTCGGGAAAAACAAGATAATGCATAAAATTTAATCCAGAACTGAACTGGCCATAATGGATGTGCTTGTGGTCCACATTCCCTCACTTTGCTTAGTCAAATAAACGTTGGACCCCCCCCCCCCACCTCCCACACACACAAACAAACACTTTTTTTAGTTTGCCTCCTACACTTCTGTTCTAGTTCCTTCGTTCCAAAGAGGATGAAGTAACCCCATTTTTGTCATTCGCTTCTTGAATAACACAGATATGCATCTTTTTTCTGTTAAATATTGGGCTACCTTGTTTCATGAGCCTCTTCTTTCAGCTTCTGTATTTCCTTCTTATTCTCTGTCTCTCTTACTCTCCAACTACTCATTTTTGTCTTCTATTTACTTCATTTCTTTGCTGTCTACACTCATAACCTCAACAGCTTTGCTAAGGACATTCACTTCTACTTGTTCTTCTTCTGCAATGCCCCTTGTTAACTTGGTTTCATTGTTTCTGGATTTTCTTTGTCAAGATGCTTTACTTTCAATGTTTGCCTCCCTCTGTCTTATTTCCCTCTTTCTTTTTTTTTTCAAGAGAAAACAAATTTAAAGATCTTAACCTATCCTTGTATAACAACCTTTCCATCCCAGGTATCATCCTTGTAGCCATCCTCTAAATATGTAGGGATGGAAACCTCATACCAAATGTTTGCATGTAGTAGTTCATTGTTGTGTAAAATGGTGAGTAACCATCTGAAATACATTTTCAGGTAAGAAAAATGTTGAAATCTAATTTTCTTAAAATCCTATTGGTCACTTCAAAATCTGAAAACTTATACTTGTTATTTTTAGATAATATTTTTATTTGATAAAGAAGTACGATCTCCATTAGCTTATCAACATATGATGTTGTTAGATGTATGACTTATACTTGTGTTAATTTAAAGATACATGGTTTTATATAACAGTTATATATTGTTTAGACCAGGTGTTTTATATACTTCCCACCATTTCCCAGAAAACATTACTTTGTTTGTATGTTAAGAATGAGTAGAAAACTTACCAACATTACAGAAGTTACCAATAAGTAATAGTTAAACAATGTTCAATGTTAAGTATATTTTTCTGATGATTGAAAATGGTAATCAGTGACAGAAAACAAAACAAACAATTCTCAGTTTATACCTAACTAGGCCTATCAAATCTACACCCAAATAATGTTGAAGCTGTGGGCACAAGCCTACTGTAATTATTAAACGACCCCCATTCTCCAATACTTGACACTTTCCTATATAACAGACACTACCCCTTTAAAAAAAACAACTTAAAACCACAACTGTTCAATTTGACACATGTAATGCCTCAAATGAACAATACCTTTCTCAGCCACACCAGTGGCTGTAAGTACTTTATAACATACATTTAACACAATTTATTGTTTTACTAATTTCATAACAGCTACTTGTTAACCTAGCTGTTTTTGGCTGTTGTCTTCTCCTGAAACTGCCTTATGTGTTAAAGTGTAGAAATAATGGTTGTCTGTCATTTAATACTTCTTTAATTCAAGGTGGCCAGAATCCCGAGTTGCTACAACACCAACTTAAGTTAAATCCTTTTGAAATATTTCTTGGTCAGAATGTGCTTATATAAATTGATTGATGAATAGATTCAATGTTTCTTCAGAGATAAGCTTGTAATCCATAAATAGCAGCATTAAAACCCTATGACATAATAAGAGTTAGAATATATTAAAACAATTTTAGAGTCTAACCACACCATTACGTACTGTCTAGTCCTGCTCTATCTGATGACTGTATGTCTTGAAAACAGCCTTGCAGCATATTTCCCATTGCAAAAGACTTTGTCATGTCCAAAGCAAACCACTCCTCTCTGCTTTTTTCCCTTATATATCTAATGTGCAAAGATGACAGTTTCAAGTGCCCATTTCAAAAGACAAATTACACACAAATTCATAGTTGCTGCATTTGGCAACTTGATCAGTATGTCTTTGTAGCATGAATACTCATTTCCTTCTCTAACTGTGTGACGTATGCAACAGTTGAACAGGAGTTGTGATTATCTTAGTGAACCCATACCTTTCTTTCTAAATGAAGGTCCTTTTTGATTGTGTTTGTGAATTTCCATCTGTTAAGACACCACACTTTCCCTACAACACTTGTTGCATATGTCTGTCTCAATGGTCATTTATTTTTATTATCATTAAGTACAAGGAGTATTCCTGTCTTGGAAGTTATAAATCTCAATCTGAACACATACGTATGATCTCAGAGTATGAATAATTTCACATCAGAAAAAGCTGTTGCAAACCCTTCACAAAAGTGATTGTTGTTTGTTCAGTTGATGATATAAAGAGCACCTGGACCATTACTGTGTCTATCATATCCCAGCCAACCTGATGATTTACTGGATATAGCAGATATATTATAGTTGACATATTCTTGTTTCACTCATAAGCTCTTGTAAATGTTTATATGCAGCTAGAAATTGTGATTATTTTAAAATAATATATCAAGATAGATAATTTTCATGTTTGTGATTTTACATATTGTGTACCATCTTTTATATATTAAGTTCTTAAGCTGACTTTTTTTTTAACAACAGTTACACATTAAACTTGGAGAAGTTAGAGCAAGAGAAGACGCACAGAATCTGGTTAGACTTGGAAACTGGAACTGGGTCACTCTATCTTCTCCTGACCATCAGTGCAATTTACATTAGAGAGAATGTATCAGACTTGCTATGGTGTCGAGATGCTATTCACGGAAGGAGTTGTTGCCTTGGGCAATATGTATGTTACTGTATTTGTCAGTATATTTCTTGAAAGGCAGTTTTATTGTGCACTAATTGCTTCTGTCTCAATGAGAACTTGAAAAATTGAAAGTATTATTAAGTGATTTTCTTATGTGTGAGATAAAGATTTTGAACCTTATATATATTTTCATATTGTATTTTACATTGGTACACATGAACATGAAATCTTACTTCTCTGTTTCAGGACTTTTCTAACAGTCTGTCTAACCGGAGAGATATTGGGCTATTAACTGTTAAAGGTAGGGCCTTTGTTGTCATATGTTATTACTTTACCTTTGTCTTAACATGCCAATTTAAAAAATCAATGTAACTGCTTTCTACTTGATTATCTTTGCTGCTGGTTTGTTAGCAGATAAGTAACTGTACAACTCATTCCAGTGTATAAAGCCCGAGGACTTAGAGCTGCAGACTTTGGAGGGAAAAGCGACCCATACTGTGTAGTGGAGTTAGTTAATGCTCGGCTTCAGACACACACGGAATATAGAACTCTCAATCCTGAGTGGAACAAGGTTTTTTCATTGTGAGTTACTAGATTTAACAGATTATATTAGGACCTGATAAACACTTGTTGTTATATAATATAGAATTCTCAGTTCTGAGTAGAACAAGGTTTATACATTGTGAGTTACTATGTATTAACAGAATATAATAGGACCTGATGAACACTTGTTGTTATATAATATAGAATTCTCAGTTCTGAGTAGAACAAGGTTTATACATTGTGAGTTACTAGATTTAACAGAATATAATAGGACCTGATGAACACTTGTTGTTATATAATATAGAATTCTCAGTTCTGAGTAGAACAAGGTTTATACATTGTGAGTTACTATGATTTAACAGCAAGTGTTCATCAGGTCCTATTATATTTATTTGTTGTTATATAATATAAATAGTATACATATATGAAATTATTTTTAAATCTGTTTAGTACAGAAAGCTTCTGAAGAAAACCAGAAGTAGAAAGACCGACATATTATAGAAATATGAACATTTTACTTACTAAAAACTCCATGATGTGCAATATATATTTGTAACTGTAATTATTACTGTAAATAGCAGACCTAATATGTAGCTGCCTTTAGTTTGTTTTCATCAAAAACATCGTACAGCTATTCAACCATATAGTAGCACTTAAAATCACTATTATAATTTACTTTTATATCTGTGAGTCAGAAACAAGGATTCTCACTTATTTTCTTTAAGATAAGTTATACCAAATGTTACTTATGTTCTGCATGTTTAATTAATTAATTCATCTTTTATAAATATCTGTGCTTATCAGCCAAGTGAGAGACATACATGCTATATTGGATGTCAGTGTTTATGACCAAGATACAGACAAACAGTTTGAATTTTTGGGAAGAGTGTGTATTCCTCTGCTTCAGGTATGTATTGCGATCTGATAATATGTTTTGGATTTTACGTACAGTTATGTAGAATATGTATTATGATTTTCCCAAACCTCAGAAATAATAAATCTTGTAGTAGAACAAGGAAATATATATTGACTTTAAATATCAAATGATTTTTCATTCCTCCAAACTTGAAAAAAAGTTGTAATTTTTTTAATAAACCTAGAATCTATTGATGCAAAATGGATGGTTTTAAAAAAAATATGCCTATTGGTAAAAATGTTTTAATCTTAAGTTTATCTCCATTATTTGTCATCATTAATTCTGTAATAGTTTATGTTTTTGAAGCATTAATTATAATATTTTTTTCTGTTTATCTATATTTAAAAGTATTGACTTATGTTGGATAAGATTTGCCATTTTGTAGATTAAGAACAATAAGAAGCTGTGGTATAACTTGAAGGATGAGAAGTTGAGCAATTATGTGAAGGGAGAAATACTTCTAGAGTTGAATGTTACATATAACCCAGTAAGTGAAATGAATTTTCTTCCCTCTAAGACAAATGGCATTGATTTAAAATTGTTTACTAGTTCTGTTTTTCTGTCTAATATGATTTTTTATATCTTAATAAAACTGTATTTCTACTACATATGGTTCTTTCTGTTCCAATAAAACCATATTTCTTTAATGTTCTAATAGTATCATGTTTCTCCTTTATATATATTTCTTTTGTTCTAAAAACATTTCTCCTGTATGTATTGTTCTTTATGTTCTAATAAAGCCATGTTTCTTCTACATCTGTTTTTTCATTATTATAATCAAAAAATTTCTCCAATTTGTATTTTTCTTTACGTTTCTATTTCTTCTGTATGTATTTTTTTTATCTACTAATAAAACAATCTTCTATAGATATTTTCTACACACTAGTAAAACAATATTTTCTTATATGTATATATTTTCTATATTATTTTTCTTGAAGTCCAAATGAAGCCACATTTCTCTGATATATAGATTTATCTTTGGTTTGAAAAACAATTATTTATTTATTTTTTTTGTTCTATTATAACAGTGTTTTTCTCTATGTATATTTTTTAATTCTAATAAAACCATATCTCGTTATAAAAATCATGTTACTAGGACTTTTTTAAAGTACTGTAGTTCTACCAGGCAAAGATGGAAGCAGTTTATTATTTAAACTGAAAGTAGAAAATGATAGAAATGACCTAATATATTATTATTATTATTACAGTGCACAGTTTTTACTGAGCTAATATATTATTATTATTATTATTACAGTACACAGTTTTTACTGAGCTAATATATTATTATTATTATTATTACAGTACACAGTTTTTACTGAGCTAATATATTATTATTACAGTGCACAGTTTTTACTGAGCTAATATATTATAATTATTACAGTACACAGTTTTTACTGAGCTAATATATTATTATTATTATTACAGTGCACAGTTTTTACTGAGCTAATATATTATTATTATTACAGTACACAGTTTTTACTGAGCTAATATAATTATTACAGTACACAGTTTTTACTGAGCTAATATATTATTACAGTACACAGTTTTTACTGAGCTAATATATTATTATTATTATTACAGTACACAGTTTTTACTGAGCTAATATATTATTATTATTACAGTACACAGTTTTTACTGAGCTATTATATTATTATTATTACACTAAACATTTTTTACTGAGCTAATATATTATAATTATTACAGTACACAGTTTTTACTGAGCTAATATGTTATTATTATTACAGTACACAGTTTTTACTGAGCTATTATATTATTATTATTACACTAAACATTTTTTACTGAGCTATTATATTATTATTACACTGCACATTTTTACTGCGCTAATATATTATTATCATTACAGTACACAGTTTTTACTAAAGTAAACTTTTTATTAAACGTTTCCATAGATCAAGGCATGTATCAGGACATATAGTTAATATATTGTTATTAAACGTTTCCATAGATCAAGGCATGTATCAGGATATTTAGTTAATATATTATTATTAAACGTTTCCATAGATCAAGGCATGTATCAGGATATTTAGTTAATATATTATTATTAAACGTTTCCATAGATCAAAGCATGTATCAGGACATATGGTTAATATATTATTATTAAACGTTTCCATAGATCAAGGCATGTTTTAGGATATTTAGTTAATATATTATTATTAAACGTTTCCATAGATCAAAGCATGTATCAGGACATATAGTTAATATGTTATGATACATGCCTTGATCTATGGAAACGTTTAACAAGGACATATAGTTAATATATTATTTTAAACGTTTCCATAGATCAAGGCATGTATCAGGACATATAGTTAATATATTATTGTTAAACGTTTCCATAGATCAAGGCATGTATCAGGACATATAGTTAATATATTATTGTTAAACGTTTCCATAGATCAAGGCATGTATCAGGACATTTAGTCCTAGAGAGAAGAAGTATACAATTCCAGAAAGAAAATTCAAGCAAATGGTAAAAAGTATTTTTATGGTACATTTTTCACTCAAACTGTCTTGGTTCTTAAAGTTCGTTAAAGTTTAGTATAAGGTTATTACTGAACTTTAAGAAATATTTTCATTTTTATAATTATGTAAAAATTCAATTTCAGCTAGTATTTATTTTCCGTTATGTTTACATCATCCTATGGTGCATAACATATGTATCTGTTTGGCAGAGCAGTCATTTAGATTTTTTTCTAGTTTTCTTTTTTTATCTGATGTTTAGTTAATAAACAGTTCCAATCAATAATCTCATGTAAGGAAACTCATAACTTAAACTTTTGTTGTTCATGAATGGTCTCTCATGAGCTTACAGAAAACCAAGTTATCTTTCAACATCTAATTATCATAACACATAAGTAGTTTTTGTTATCATTCACAACTAGTATTTCTGCAGGTAATTTTAGGATGACTCAGTCTAAGACTTATTTAAAACGTACTTAATGAGTTCTACTCAGATCCCAAAATATATATGAAAGCTAATGGTTAGCTGTTTCCAGATGCTTTAATAGAAGGTTCAGCTGAATTATTAAAGAATTCTTGACCAGTTGTGGAAGGCCTTTAGTAAATGTAAATTAACAACTCAACTATTCAAGTATCAAACATGTCCAACTAAATCCCATCAAGTAATTATAACCTGTTGGCTGTACTTGAAACTTTCCTTGTAATATTTTTCCATTCGGCTATTTTTGGCATTCATTGTATATGGAAAAAAAAAATTCTATCTTAAATTAAACATAATGTTTTTGTAATGTAGAAGTGTGAAAAAGTTTTGTTATTTCTGCACCTGTATGTTTTTCATAGGTGCTGTTGAAGAACTTAAACCGAGTTCACTTGTTGATGTCTGACTTTTTAGTTTTGGCCAATTTTGTAAACAGCTGTCTTTTGTGGGAATCAACATCCTGTAGTATCCTAGCTTTACTTGTAAGTATACTAAAATGTGTTAACTTACGTCATTAATTGCTTGAGTGTAAATGGCTTATCTTATGAGTAGCATCATTTTTTTCACTTATAAGTGGACTTTAAAGGGATATATAGTATCTTTTAACATGATTTTGTTTACTTATAAGTGGACATTAAAGGGATATATAGTACCTTTTAACATCATTTTGTTTACTTATAAGTGGACATTAAAGGGATATATATATAGTACCTTTTAACATCATTTTGTTTACTTATAAGTGGACATTAAAGGGATATATAGTACCTTTTAACATCATTTTGTTTACTTATAAGTGGACTTTAAAGGGATATATATATAGTACCTTTTAACATCATTTTGTTTACTTATAAGTGGACTTTAAAGGGATATATATATAGTACCTTTTAACATCATTTTGTTTACTTATAAGTGGTCTAATGTTGAATTTGGTGACTAAACAGCCACATTGAAAGTTATCTTCTACAGACAGTTTAATAACATTGTCATGTGTAAACACAGCATTTGATGTGTGCCATAAAATTGACAATAGGGCTTCCACCATAGATGGATTAAACCTGATTATAACCACAAAACATTCTTACAGTAGATGGGCTGACAAGAAGGCTTCCACCATAGATGGGTTAAACCTGATTTAAAACTACAAAACATTCTTACAATAGATGGGCTGACAAGAAAGTTTCCACCATAGATGGGTTAAACCTGATTTAAAACCACAAAACATTCTTATACTGAAAGATTATGCTGTAACTTATCTATTGTGAAATGCATTTAAAAGAAACGTTTTGTTCTTGTTATGTGTTTAAAATCCCATCAAGTAAACTGTATGTGTTCTGATTCAGACATTCCTTGTGGTTGGTTGAAACATATAGGTGTACATGATATAAACTGTATGTGTTCTGATTCAGACATTCCTTGTGGTTACCTATATGTTTCAACCGTACATGATATAAACTGTATGTGTTCTGATTCTTCCTTTCAGACATTCCTTGTGGTTACCTATATGTTTCAACTGTACATGATACCCATTGGTTTTCTCCTTGTCTTCCTTAAAAGCTTGTTCTTCAACAGTTCAACAAAGCAAAGTATTTTAGAAAAGGAAAGAGAAGAGGTGAGTGTAAAGTTTCTGTAAATGTTTTGAGGAGTATGAGTTATAAGATAGTGCTCAGAACAAGGTATTAACTGGAATTAATGAATTTTCAGTTACAGCATATGGATGAAGATGATGAAGAAGAGAAGTTGAACAAGACTGTGAGTTCTCTCCATATTTATTGTATGATTTTAGAAAAAAAGTTGGTTTATTAATCTTATGCATTATTTCTGTGATGCTGAGAAGGAGATATTAAATTAAGTTTTAATTCCTTTTAATTTTTATCACGAGCATCTGTTTGTTATGGCTTTTCTAATGCATGGCATGACATCACATTATCCTATTCTGTGTTATTATCCCTCGAAACATTCCTTTTACAGTAGTGTGCTATATCATCCTAATTCATTTTCTCCTAGAGTGTTTTTCAGAAACAGTCATACACGGCTGCACTACATTTTATCAGTGATCTAGCTGCTGAAATCTTAAGATTTACAACACATGGGAAATATAAGGTAATTCATAAACTCACTATGTTACAGTTATTTTAATGTGTTTGTTTGGAATAACAACGTTATGGTTGTTTTAATGTGTTTGTTTATTTGGAATAACAACATTATAGTTATTTTAATGTGTTTGTTTATTTGGAATAACAACATTATAGTTGTTTTAATGTGTTTATTTGGAATAACAACGTTATAGTTGTTTTAATGTGTTTGTTTATTTGGAATGACAATGTTATAGTTATTTTAATATGTTTGTTTATTTGGAATAACAACGTTATGGTTATTTTAATGTGTTTGTTTATTTTGAATGACAACGTTATAGTTATTTTAATGTATTTGTTTATTTGGAATAATGATGGAACTTCAGTGTGTTTCTAGCCCTAACCATTGAGACTCCACTGTATGAAAACAAAACTACTGAACCCAGATGGATAACAGAGTTTATCTGTACAATATACTAACAGTATATCCATACAATATACCAAATATACAATATACAAACAGATAAATAAGAGTTTGGTAACTTATTTGGAAAGAATGGTGGGTAGGTCTTGGACGTGTAGTCACCTGATGCAAATCTTTCAGTCACCAGTTTTTTCTTTCCATCCCTTTGGTTTATATTTTAGTTCCCTCATTATTTTCTTGATGTTCTCTGTAGTGGCTTGCTTATAGGGTCGTACCCACTTAGAAGTTTAAATGACATCTTTTGTGCTCATGTTTTTTTCAGATTTTTAAGGATAAAATTTAGGAAGTGTCAGCATTTACAATAGAAGAAAAAATTAAATAAAAGAAAAACAGCTTATCTTTAGTTTGTTAATACCTAAACTGAAAGTGTTAGTTTTAAATAAAAGAAAAACAGCTTATCTTTAGTTTGTTAATACATAAACTGAAAGTGTTAGTTTTAAATAAAAGAAAAAGCTTATCTTTAGTTTGTTAATACCTAAATTGAAAGTGTTAGTTTTAAATAAAAGAAAAAGCTTATCTTTAGTTTGTTAGTACCTAAACTGAAAGTGTTAGTTTTAAATAAAAGAAAAAGCTTATCTTTAGTTTGTTAATACCTAAATTGAAAGTGTTAGTTTTAAATAAAAGAAAAACAGCTTATCTTTAGTTTGTTAATACCTAAACTGAAAGTGTTAGTTTTAAATATTAAACACTGTAAGTCTTTTATATTACTAGGTCATGTTTCTGCAAACATTGATTATACACATGAATGAGGGAGTTTGTTTTTGAGCTATAGAAATTATAGTATAAGATGTATATTCTAACACAAAAAATATTAGTTTATGTTAAACTTGTATTAAAGTTTTTCTTCATTATGAGTGTAGATTTGTTTACCTATATTTTCACATGTATTTATGTTATGTATTGTGTCATGTAACAGTAATGTTACCAATATATGTAATAGGCTGTACAGTTTTCTCTGTTATGTATTGTGTCATGTAACAGTATTGTTACCAATATCAGAAAACTGTACAGCCTATTACTCTGTTATGTATTGTGTCATGTTATAGTACTGGGCAATGAAAGAAAGTACACAACTAAGAAGCTGTACCCTAGAGTGTCTGTAATTTCTCATATATAGGTAATTGCTGAAACCTACTGCCTCACAATTCGTTATCATCACATAATGATAAATGATGATGATGACTGAAGTCACACAGCTTTTATTTTAACCTTCTGCCTCACAATTTGTTATCATCACATAATGATAAATGATGACGATGACTGAAGTCACACAGCTTTTATTTTAACCTTCTGCTTCACAATTCGTTATCATCACATAATGATAAATGATGACGATGACTGAAGTCACACAGCTTTTATTTTAACCTTCTGCTTCACAATTCGTTATTATCACATAATGATAAATGATGACGATGACTGAAGTCACACAGCTTTTATTTTAGCCTTCTGCTTTACAATTCGTTATCATCACATAATGATAATCACATAGTTTTTATTTTAATCTGAATTTCTTATTAATATGTGGAATGGTTTCTCAACTAGAAAATTAACATTCTAGCTTCTTGGCCAAACACCAGATCAGAAAATACTTTTCTGTTTGTATGTATACTCCAAAATTGTCAAAAGTCTACCTTTTTTTGGGCCAGTGACATTTGGGTTTTAACAACTTATACATGGAATGTTGAAAACTCTGATATCTTTGTTTGTTAGAAGGCAGGATTTGAGCACAACTGGGATTTCAGTTTTCAGAATACAACTGATGTATTGAGTGCTTTATATTATAAAATTGTTATAAAGTCAATTGTTTGTGACACAAAATCACTCATATACCACATACATTTCTTTTAAGGAAGTAAAAGTTTCAAAGATCGAATTCAAGCTGTTCAAGATCTTGTGGCATTGATTCAAAACATTCTTGGTTATGGTGCTTCCTTTGGAGAACGATGTAAAAAGTAAGTTCACATGCTCTTTTTGGTAACATTATTTAGAATCATGAGATTTGAGTAGGCTTAATTCATCATCCCTAACGTAAGGTACATGTTTTAGGTATCATTTGGTTACATCATAACTAAGTATTTGTGTCTGTTGTGATCTTTATGAATTTGAAAGTAGAAATGTATTTTGATTTATAAAAAGTATATATTTCCCCCGTAGTAAAGATAACTGGTTACTTTTAGGGTGGCTGTGAAAAAAAAAGCTGTTGTCATAGTGTCTGTCCTTGTCAGGTCTTGGAGAAAGTCAAACTTTTACCACCAACAACCAGGCAGTTGCCTTTGTAACAGTGCCTCTACTGTTGTCAAGTCATGTTGCAGGCCAGAGTTATGATA